TTTATAATAAAATCAAAATTTTTTCGAATACCAACGCACAATAACTTATTGATTCAAATTGAACGTTTCGCCGCGCCACCCCACAATACTCCCGTACCCCAACAACAATTGCCTTTGTCTTATACAAGGGACAACTTACCTCGACGAATTATCAAGCAACTCAGCCTCCGTACGAAATATCCGATCCAAATAACTTATTATTCGCTAAACAACTCTTACTTCCAATCCCTTCGACAATCACCAATTAACAATCCACAAGCAACGACTCGCAACGACTCGCAACGACTCGCAACCTTCGCAAACGAACTCTCAACGACCAACTGATGATCCACCGGCGGCGCGCGCACTCTTTTATTTACGCTGCGAGTGTCATTCGAGAATTTTCTCGTTACGTTTGGCAATATCCGGAATATTCGCTACAATCCTTCTGGATTATTCGCCGTAATAAGATCTTCGCTTTTAATGCGAGGAGTTACGAATTACAAAGAGTCCATTTTTAATTAATAAATAAAATTATTTGCTCGACTGCTGCGAGCAGAAATTTAAGGATTTTTTAAGTAAATCCGAATATTGTAACTCCAATGTCGACGTGCCCACTAGACTCATTAATTCGTATTATTCAGAGTTTTAAATCGATTGCAATTCAATAAATTCAATATTTTTAATATTTTTATTAATCCAGGATTAATATGAACTAATGTCATTTAAACTAAAGTTCATTAAAATTAATTTTCGACAAATTCAATTTCAATTATCGTTCACTCCGACACTAAATTACAATTAAATATAAATTATCAAGGTCACTCGTTAACGTATTATTTATTGAATACTTAATAAGTAATATTGAATCTAGACATTTTTAGATAAATATGGTGTAAAATACTACTACATTTATATAAATATATATTTGTTTTGTTTGTGTGCATTTAAATTCTTCAATGTAATCACAGATTTAACAAATGTCCTTTGTCCTTGAAAAAATGTTGTTAATCAATCATTATAATCTCAACTTCCATATTTGAAAATAATTTGTGCGAGACTATAGTAGTTGGTACAATATTTCGATTATCAGTAACAATTAGAAAAATATATATATTTTCAAGATGAAAAGTAAATATATGCGAATGAATTATTGAACAAAGAATACTCAAATTTATTAATATTTATTCAAATTTACTCAAAGTTATCGATATATATTTTTCTATAAATTTTTCTGCCCATTTCCTGTCTAATTTTATTTTCAAAGTTCAAAATTTTCAATTATCATTATTCACCTCTCTGCTGTTTTGTTCGTATTTAGTTTATTTGGATATCGATTACATTAGAACTTCCATAAATAAAATTAATTTATACTCCATACGACGTTTATGTAATAATAATATTGTCAATGTGTCAACTTTTTTCTTTTTCTTTTCTTTTTTTTTTTTTTTTTAATAAATACATTATTATATAAAACACCTTGTTAATAAAAGAGTTAATTATATTTGAAAATAGATTCTGCCACGCAAAAATTCGAAACCGACGTTTGTTTACTACAAAAGTGCTCTAGATAGCCTATAAGGTATAAGCAATGAATTTTGATAAGATTCTGTGGGATTATATTACTAAGGAATACGTCGAGTACAATAATTTTACAACTACTAATACTTAAGGGGGATAATAGTCAAAATTTTGCCAAGCTGATAAAATGCAATGACGATAATCAATTTCAGGAAACGATTTAAATAATTAAGAGAATTTGCTTATTATTGACTATTAAGAATATATAATAATAGAAGGAATCGCGCTGGGTGATTAAACATTTACAATATTTTCGTAACTTTTGGTATGTTTTTATTGCCATTTTAAATTTACAGAATGTCCTTTTCATCTATCCAAATCACTCATTTGGTATGAAAATATATATATATAACAAATATATGAAAGGTAATATATAGTTTTGCATAGAATAGTTTAATTGAAATTTGTGTTAATTGCTATGAGATGCCTTTTCCAATAAATATCATTTATTGTCTGTTAATTTTGCTAAGATTAATAATAAATTCTATATAATAAAATTCCGATATTGTTTGGCTATTTAACTTTTTACATTTATTTTAATCGCTATGTGATCTTTATTTGTATTAAATTTTTTAATCTTGACTATTGTATAATTCTAATTCTTAGTTTAAATTATAATAACGGACATTAATTAAAAATATTAGAAAAACGTATTTAAGTGAGATAGAAACAACAAATAATATAGAGTTTCAAGGGACAGGGAAAGTCGCGAGAGTTCTAAATTAAAAAATAATCCATTTTTTGTATTATTTATTTATTTATTAAATTATTTTTTTTTTTTTGCTTTTTTTTTCTTTGTTCTTTTTTCTTTTTCAAAAAAATTCAGGGAAATAAGAGTGAAGTTATAATATTATTATTATTATTATTATTATTATTATTATTATTATTATTATTATTATTATTATTATTATTATTATTATTATTATTATTATTACCTTGTTATTTCTACTTTAAAATGGATATTTTTGATTTTTTTTTTTATAAATATTTATATTATTTATATTCAAGTTTGCTTTTTATTATTAGTCCATACATTTTAAATTAGTATCAAAATATTTTTAACAAATACTTTTTTTCCGACCACAGTGTTTTTGCTACGTAATAATAAGTAATAAGTAATAAGTAATAATAATAATAATAATAATAATAATAATATTGATAGCAAAGTTAAACTATCGAGTAAAAGTTTGATTGTCCTGACTGTGCATTTTATTCAAGTTACGAGGCTCTCAAATTAAGGAGGAAATTCATTTTATGCTGAATATAATCCTATGTAATATTTCATGTTTATTATCGATATATCGATAAATTTTTAACAGTCCCCATATCTATACCAAATTTATACCAGTTTTGCACACAATCATAAGGTACATGGCTGACTTTTACAACTCTTGATAAATTTCCGAGCCCATTTGTTATATAATAATTATATCAACATTTTAATTTAAATATTTATTAGAAAATAATTTTCTATCTTATACCGCATATTTTTGAATAGCATCTCCGTAGATTTCTATATATACATTTTTTAACTACGACACTCTGTCGATTGTTGAGTTTTCCCTCTTTTTACGCTTGACTAACCATAAGCTTTTACGTACTGTCAATTATTCAACTTTTCAAGTTTCAAATTTAAGTTTTTCATATACCGAAACATATATAGAAAAGTGGAGACAAGTAAATAAAGAAATAGCTTTCCAATTATATGACAATTTCAAGAGAACCCGTGAACTCACTGTCTCTATCCTTATATAGACATTACACTACGAAAGTCATTGAATTTACGTGATCGCCGTAAGGCAGCCATGGATCATTACATGGATACAATCATGCTGAGAGTCGATTGATCAATTACGTAGAACCACGCCAATCCAACGAATAATATATTTCTGGGTATAGTCTATAGTCACATTCCAGAATGTTCGAAACCCGACGAGGATGTCACTTTACTGAGGGATGGCGGAGGATGGGCGGGGGGGGGGGGGGGGGGGGGGGGGGGGGGGGGGTTGAAACTCGTGCGTGAGAAAGCATGATCAAGCTGAGGGGAAAATACCCCGGTCGGTGTACGTGGATTGGCAGAAATGGCTTTTGTGAAAATAATTCGAATGAAGAGAGGGGAGGATTCGTTATGCATGCATAACGTAAAAAAGTCCATGCTAAAGGAAATTACTCGTTATTGTCGATCATGAGATATGTTTCTTTCAAGGAATTTTTCAAGAATTGTTCACTTGGATCGATGCGCGTTCGATACAAAATGTTGTCGTGATTAATAATGGGGCAGTATTAAAGAAATAATGTTGAATCGTTATCAACTTATAGGACGAATATTAGCAATGGCAATTCGCTATGATGGGGCATTGGATAAATTATGGATGGGAATGTAGGGCGTAGTAAATGTATGGATAATTGAAATAATTCGTAAACGCGCTTGTACGTATGAAAATGATTTAGAAAATTGCTTGCTTGTGCAGTTAATTCATTGAAAATGCTGGAAGATTTGAATACCGAATATGTCTAAGATTATTAATTAAATTATGTGAAGCAACGAGAGGGCGAAGGAAATGTAAAAAAGTTCGTTGCGTCATTTGTAAATAGCGTAATTAACTTTATTGTCTCGGTGGTTGTTACCTCACGCATATATGCATATATATAATTTTATAGCGAATGTAAATAAGCATTATACAAAGGTTATATAGACAAGTATTAGACATATATAAAAATATTAAAAACATAAACATAATAAAAACATAAGCATTGTACAAACATGAATATCCTAACGCAGACAGTCGTTGTAATTTATTATGTCTGAATAATCATTATATGTGAAATGATGATAAATCAACCACTACTACTAATTAATACAGTCACTGCTTCCCAATGGAAGCTCTCCGAAATGTTTCATTATTGCCTCTGGACATTCTACTTAATTAGCAAGGTCATAGTGTTGAAGGGTAAGTCGGTTGTGAGAGTCTTATCATCTATAGAAGGCTGGACGTTGGATATGGAAAAGTCTAACGACTTATCCGCTCTCCGAATAGATTCATGAATGAACCAAATAAACTTTCTTTGGTACAATCTTTAAGTCATTGGCGTTTTGAAAATCTCTTTTCTCACCTGGATGTTTGTGAAGCGAGGAAAGTAAAGCTTGAGCAAGCTTGTTGTTTTTAAATGATTTGATGCCCGATGCCGAGTCTATCTTAATTGGAAAAACTATGTAATGTTGTATACTCGGATCGATCGAATGATTATTGACGATTGAGGCCAAAAGAAAAACTGATCCCAATAAGTAAATCATCCTTTTTTTCGTCTTTGTTCGGGGGAAGCTTTTTCAAAGTTGAAATGTCTGTCCTTTTCGGTCAGTTTGGATGAAAGCGCTTCCCGAGGGTGAGAAATTTCTCTTTGTTGGTTAAGTAGCAGTTAGTTAATAAGATTTTTCTATCTAAGTTGATTCTCGATGCTTGTTGACGTTGTGCTTATACAATGGCTAACCCCAATGAGTTTAATACGAAATCAACGAGCATATATGCGATTGTTCATCAAAGTGTGACCTTTAATGAGCTGAGCTGGTGGGGATGGAACGCCGAATAATCATTGAAGGATATCGAAACACAATGAGCTTTCGTTCTGAAACTTTTGCCGACCAAAAAAAATTTCTCTCTCTCTCTCTCTCTCTCTCTCTCTCTCTCTCTCTCTCTCTCTCTCTCTCTCTCTCTCTTTCATTCCCTTAGCCCAGTTTGGCAAAGTCTCATCACCAAACCTCATTACAACATATCCTTACATTATTTTTCTCCTACAATGATCCTAAAATCCTAATGATTAAATAGTACGATGATTCTGTTTTTATTATTGAATTAATTTTATAACTGAAAGCAGGAATTATTGTATTTGTAAATTGCATGGCTTTTGCTTTACAGTATAGAAAATGTCATATTTAACTTTCTCAAAGATTGATAGAAAAGTGATCGTAGTATTAATATTGGAAATGATATTTTCACAGATATTATTGAATTCTTTTTTTGAAAAAAAAACAAAAGTTTCGTTTCATCTTTCTCGATATATTCTTTTTTTCTTGTTTGTTTGTTTGTTTTTTTTTTTTGCTTACCAAATTATCTAATTGAATTATACGAAATAGTTAATTAATCAACATATTTAAAACCCCAGTCTACACCGATTACTCTCAATATCGATATTAATTAATGCTTTGTGAATATAAATATTTAATAAGTATTGTATATTATAAAATCATTGCTCATATCCTAAGAAATAAATAATCTTAAAGATAACATTCGTTCATAATTTGTTGTCGCGTAATACAACTTTACTAATTCAAATAATTAACGAGTAAAAATGATGCAATTAATATTATTTATCATTCTACTTAATGAAATGAACGTAGTGGATAGTAAATATTTTATTTCCTATTCATTATGTACATTGTTTGTTAAAAATTCTCACGGAATGTTAATCGATGAAAAATCACGTAATAATTTTTGTTTTTTGTTTCTCTTACGATAAAATGTCAAGACAAATGAAAGGCCATTTTTTTATTTCAAAGCAATAAACTAGCAATAAAAAGTACAATTTAACTCTGGTAAATAAAACTCATATTAGACATTTTCGAAATAAATTTTCGCATTTATGCATGCTTGCACGTGCGCATATTTTTCAATCTAACTATTTTAACTCATTTCGAACAATTTTATGGCTCAATTACTATCCTATATTGCTCTTATCAGGAACGTATGGAACAAATTCATTTCAAAATTAGTTCCTGATCAGTGAATTTCGACACAATTTCTAATTTTAACTGCACGGACAAGGTGTCGCCCACTGTGCAACGTTAAGTATTACTTTTGGAAATAATAATTAAAAATTATTAGACAAATAAAGTGCGAAGGAAAGAAGAGATAGACAGATAGAGAGATAGATAGATAGATATATAGAGGGATAGATAGAGGGATAGATAGATAGATAGATAGATAGATAGATAGATAGATAGATAGATAGATAGAGAGAGAGAGAGAGAGAGAGAGAGAGAGAGAGAAAAGGAGCATTTAAAAATCAATCGTTTATATATCAAATTACGCAATTCCTTACGAATATGCGCTTAGAGTTAACGTTCTTCCCTAAATTCTTGCTCGTTAAGTAAAATAGAGTTAATCATTTGTTTTGTCGACAATTCGGTATTTAATATCCTCAAATTAATTATTATTACTTTTAATAATACATCGCAAAAAACACTTTCAAAATGACGATTAAAATTTTGACTTTCAAGCATTTCATCGAATATAATGTTGCGTCAAAGTCGATAAGAACAGTATCGAATAATATATTTATTGCGTTTCAAATCTAAAGATTCGACGTATGAAGTTGTGTTTTGTGTCGAGTGTGCATGCGGGAGTGTGCGTATCACGAGTGGCCTTTCTGTGTCACTTTCTGTGTACGTTAAAGCCGAATTAATTGCATCGATTAAAACATTCGATATTATTAATTGTATCTTTATATCGCGAGGGCGGGAATAGATAAACTTAAACGATGCCAGTCACTTTGTAAAAAATCACTTAAAAATGGTTAAAGTAAAGTCCTTGCTTAGACGCAATAGGGTTACCGTATTTTAACATGGGGTTGAAAATATACACGTGCGCGCATGTCGGCATTGCGCGGCGCAGCGAGAGACAGAGACAGAGGCAGTGAGAGAGAGAGAGAGAGAGAGAGAGGGAGAGAGAGAGAGAGAGAGAGAGAGAGAGAGAGAGAGAGAGAGAGAGCGAGCGAGAGCGAGTGTCTGTGTTAGGGGTGTGGGGGAGCAGGTGGAATACCGAAAGATGTGGAATGATGGAGAAGTTGCGAATAATTGAGTAAAAGTAATGGGGGCGCCACGTGGAATTATCCAGAAAGTTCTTGACCTTGTCGACCCCTGGAGTGGGGTGACATCCTTCACCCAGCTGTTACGTTTTTATTCGACCTTCACCCAACTGCCCCGTAGATAGCTTCAATCAATTAAATAAGCCTTACCAACGATCCTCTCGTCCTACAAACGGATAATATCATTTTCCTACGTATGTTTCGTCCTTCTGCTTGTGACGACAGAGTACCACTGCAAGTACTTGACTACGTAAAGCAAATAACAATATTACATCCCTGGAGACAGCGTGAAGATAATTGAAGGAGAATCGCATGCAATGGGAATGGGGATAACCTGGATTTTTCGAGTATTATTTTTTGCAAAACTTTTTGCCAACATTTACATAGAAATCTTTGAGTATTCTCATCAATGCATAGCGTTAGGATCGTCGAACAAAACCATCGCGTGGACGATGATTTTTTTTTAATTATACATATAATAAATAAGAAGATACGTATATATTTATTATACGAATGGTTGTATGCAATTATTTATAGGATATTGTATATATGTGAGAAATTTCATGATGCATCGCATTAAGTTTTTTCAATGGCTCGACAGTTTTTTCAAAACTCTCAAAATATACATAAACTCGGGTGAAAAAAAGAGATATAAAGAAAATTTGCGACACATTTAATCAGAAAATCGTAATCGGAAACATAATTTCATAGCCTCATACATCGATTAATGAATAAATCGCAAATAAATGATATGAATAAAAGCCAAGAGCATCGAGAATTAAGCGAGAAGATTGTGGAATTGTCGGGAAGTATCGAGAAAAATGGCGCTCGTGCTTTGCCGTCATAAAAACCGTGCGGCTACCGTCACTTACGTCCCAGTACCTGCAAGAGCTTTGCTTGCGGCACTTGCAGCTCCTTAAAGATAGAGAAAGACAAAAGACTCGTATTAGCGCGGACTCGTGAGATTTTTATTGCTGGAACATTGGCAAAATGAGATCGCGAATGTCGATAATCCCGAGGCTCGTCGCCCAAATGTGGGATCAAATGGAGCGGTCCCATCGGCTCGTCGATCAACACTTTGGCGTGCCAATCAACCCGGAACATTTATTCACCCCGAGCTTACTCGATAACCGGAGATTCGTGCCGCAGTATCGGCCGTGGATCGATATGATGCGAGATGACGATCCGGGCTACTCAATGATCAAGAAGGATAAGTTTCACGTGGCCCTTGACGTCCAGCAGTTCAAGCCCGACGAGATCAATGTGAAGGTCATCGATAATTACGTCGTCGTCGAGGGTAAGACGATATCGTCCGTCTTCCGCTCGCTTCTTTAGATTTAAACCTTTTTTGTTTTTTTGTTTATTTTTTTTGTTGTTCTTTTTTTTGTTTTTTTTTTTTTTTTTTTTTACTACACGCGCGTTGTTGCGCTTCCTCGCGATCATTTCCGATGAAAATGTTTCCTTATTCCTTATCCCCGGCTTTTACGATTGTCAATAATCACAAGAACAATCTCAGAATTACGTCCCATTCGCATTTCCCTAGCGCTATCGTTTGATATTTAATTTAAGCTATTTTAATACAATTTGTTTGACATTTTGTTAAACTTTACGTTAAAAAAAGTTTTCGCGACACGAAACAACAAACATCATCACAATGCTGAATATTATTGTGAATTTTGTTTCGCTTTTTAACTTTTTATAATTGTCTTCGATTTTGTTACAGGCAAACACGAGGAAAAGCAGGATGATCACGGAATCGTTTCCAGACATTTTCTACGAAAGTACAAAATTCCAGATCAATGCGATCCAGAGAAAGCAACCAGCACACTCTCGTACGATGGTATTTTAACAGTCGTTGCGCCAAAAAAATTCGAGGCTATTGAAAAGAAGAATGAAAGAATCTTGAAGGTTGAGAGAACGGGAAAGCCAATGTCTGAAAAGGAGAAGGGGGAAGAAGCTGCAATGGACAATGAACGAGCGGCAGAAAGACAATGAGAAATGACAGTCGCGGTGGCATTAGTGAACAATAATTTGTAAAACTTGGCTCGCGCGTCGTTGGCCTTTTGTATAAAAAATTGTAACGATTATATAAGAAATATAACGATTGATTGATTGATCGATTGATTGATGTTTCATAAGTCGCATCATCTTGTTATCGTGATTGCCAATAATTTATCATACGGAATTGTACACTGGATTGTAGAATTATGTAGTTGAAGAACGTATGTAGAAGCATATGTAGAAAAAATGTTTATATGCAATTTTGTAAATGTAAATAAATGATGATTTTTGTTTTTTTGTTTTGTTTTGTTTTTTTTTTATTTCTATAAATATGATTGATTAATTTATTCACTATGTAGATATGTATTTTTTTGTTGTTGTTGTTGTTGTTTGTTCTTTTTTTGTTTTTTATCTCTGAACGATCGAGAAATTAGTAGTAAATTAGTAATGTAACGATCGAAATTTTAAATAAAAATATTTAAGATATTATGAAGCTTAGTTGGCTTTTTTCTTTTTATTCATACGACCGATAAATTGGGCAAAACATTATTATCATGAGATGAGAAATAAATATTAAATATGATAATACATATTAAATATTGTAATAGAGAGAGGGAGCTATAATCCACACTATAATCGATTATTATTACTTAATGTTCTATCTATTTTCAATATTTTCGATCTAATAAATTTATTATTATCAATTTTAATTTATCGTATAAAATTTATCCTCGAAGCGGATGTATCGTTATAAAGATAGAAAGTATCAGAAATCTCAACGAGGTATCGAATTATAAATTGAGCATGCGTTATTATTACTCGATTATCGATGAAACCAAGTTACTTGGCAATCAAAGTAAATACTTGGGATAATATGTAGATAATAGGATGGGAGATTGGCGGAAGGGGGCAAAATTAATAATACATCGTATAATTCATAAGTCTTCACTTTATTTACTTATTTCAGAATGTGACATTACACTAGTTTACATTTTCGCTACATTAAATAGGAATTTAATTTCAATTATATGTAGATATACGTATATATATATGTGTGTGTGCGTGTGCGTGTGCGTGTGCGCGCGCGCGTGCGTGCGTCCGTGTATATGTTACGATCATGAGGTATCGAAAAATATTGTTTTATCACATGAATTAACAGTCACAGTCTATTGATTCCTTTAAAGCCGATGCCGAGCAATTAACTCGGCTTAAATTAAATCTATGGTCTTCACGATAAAATATAATATTAATTGTAAGATGATAGAGAGGTGTAACAACGCTCGATAGTACAGTGCATATATCACCGAAGAGTCGCTAAATCGCATTCGTTCTTCGTTCTTACTTCTTGGCACTCTCCTTCGTACTTTCCTCGCTCTCTTTTGACTTGAAGGCTGGCTTACCAGTCAGCACTACGTTAATAATCTTTTCGTTCTTATGCTGTGGTTGTTGCTTCCTCGGCGCCATTATAGTAAGCACACCATCGGACGACAGCTTCGACACGAGTTGATTGATGTCACACTGCTCCGGGACCAGGTACTTCCTTGTGAATTGGCGAGCGATCCAGCCATGCTCGTCCTGCTTCTCGTCGTGCTTACCATTCACAACGACACACCCATCCACTACCTTAACATCAATTTCCTCGGGCTTGAATTGCTGGACGTCTAACGTCACAAGAAATTTATCCTTATCAGCCTCAACGGTGGACAAGCCTCCTTTATCGCCACTTCGAAGTAATTCCGCCCAAGGTCTGATGTAATTTACCGCGTTAATCCCCCTTCCGTGATAAGGATGGTATAAATCCAATCTTCCCGGAGTTATTAATTGATCGGCGTGAAGCCCAAGGCCAAAGTCCTGATCAAGCAGGTGATGCGGCCTTTTCAAATCCTCCCACCAGTTAGAGAACATCAATGGAGCGAACGACATTCTACACCCTCTATTTATATTATCTCACAGTGGCAAAGTCGATTAAATAATTCAATGGTCTCCACACACAGGCGACTATATGTCTCCTTTTTGTTTGTAATATCCCGCCAATAGACCAATAGACCAATAGTAGTAGTAGTAGTAGTAGTAGTAGTAGTAGTAGTGGTTGCTTGCTTGCTTTTGACGTCTCTCTTAACGACCACGAATCTTTACCTCACGACTGCTCGCTCGATACTAAACCCGAAGCACCGTCGCTCTCTTCTTTATACGTCCTCGGGCCGATGTACGAGAGCCTTCGGGAAGTTTAAAAAACTTCTAGAAATGCTCAAATGCCAACGGCTCACGTTGTCTTCGATTTGCGTATACGTCAAGGGATGGGAAGAAGATCTCATTATCATCCAGTATTATTTAATTAAATGATTTGATCAAAAGTTTTCCGAGGGTAATGGACGATAGTGAAAACATTTGGCAACGTCGCATTTAACTTACGTGCGAAATTTGACGGATAAGTGTACTCGGTCATTCTGACGTTAATGAAATTTTCGTCATTTTTCACGACGAACATTCGATTTGGACGTCGAATCTATCAAAATCGACGAAATTATGACGAAATTAATTAAGGAAATTAATCGGTCCGGCGTTATGTATGTTATGTATGTGTGGCGCGCAAAACGTCAAAAAAATTAAAAAAATTCGTGAAAAATTACAATATTCCCTTGGAAAAATAATGCACATTCGCAAGTGTATTTTGCCATTTTATTGGATCGCGTCGGTCTGTTATTTACGGTTATTTCATCTCTATTGCATCATTATAATTGATTGCACTTGGTTAGACGTGTTGACGTTCGATGAATTTAAATGTTTAAACGATTCTATCGCAATGCTTCAACAGTACACATTTCTTTACAAAATCTCACGATATTCGCTATTTGTAAAATCAATGAATGGCGAAAGCACCGAGACTTTGGCTTAATATTGCCGCGAGCAAATGGGCTAGCGTTCGTCGTTCAAACGACGCTTCCCATTCTTTCGGGAACAGAAGTTTCTAGACGCGCAATGGAAGTTTGGCGAAACAGATTGAAAATGACACTGGAATTCTCTAGAATCGCAAAGGCGACAAAAATCCCCAGAATTTTCACGTAGCAGCACGATTCTTCACGATAGTTCTCGATACTTCCAAGGCGACCCAGAGGGCAGCACACACTATTCTCGAATTTTGATTTTGTTTCAGCGGCGCGGCCAAGGTAAAGCGTTTGTTTGGCTTTTATTTTGTGGAAATTGGCCGCTGCGACCGTTGAGGTTGGATTGGGTTCGCTTGAATTTGGCGCGAGAAGGAGGAGACGAGAGAGTGTCACCCTTCCCTGTGCTGTCCATCTATACGTAAAGACAGCGTAACGTAATTCGATAATGAAGGAGGATGCGCGTTCGGGAAATTATTATCAATTAACGGTATTCTTATAATATAATAGCTCTGTAGAAAGTAACTCGAATGTCAATTTGGAAAAATGATGTCTGTCTGGCGTCACGCGTATGGCGATTATACAAACACTGCGATATTCTTTCCACGAAATTTGCAATGCATCATGATGGTACATTATGACAGTTGACGTTAATGCGCGGCTCGTAAAGTCAAAATAATGAACATTTACGAATTATCGTATAATTCCAAATGGCGTGAATGTATAACAAATACGCTGTATCGCGATGTACGAAATTATTGACAAGGATGACAATTTAACGCAATATGGAGACAAAGTAACGCGCTAAAGTTGCGGGACAATAACGCAAATCTTTATCAATCACATAAACACAATGCGTGTCACACATACGTATACGCGCGCACAAACGTGCCTGGCATATACGATTCTTTAAAGCCGTAATTGTTAATTCTTTAAAATTCCTGTACCGTACGTTATTATTGATTGGCTAAAATTTTCGTATTGTTACTATTTTATAAAACTTTATTGGCTTTATATTATTTGAAAAAAAAAAAAAAAAAAACAAACAAACAAACAAACAAATTTACTTTACAACGATTTAATCTATGTCACTATACTATGTTACATATAGAAAAATCAAAATTTAATGAAAAATACAAATTCTATACTTTTGCGAAACATGCGTATACATCAAATCATTTAATATTTTCTCTCAATTATCAGAATAGCAGAATGATTGTAATTTTAGATAAAGCTAAGTTCTTCGGCTTATCTGACATTTCTCTTCGAAAGTATAATAAATACAATAGTACAATGCAATAGAGAAATATCAAAACTATCGTAAACACGAATCTAATCATAAATCGACTGTAATAAAAGTTATTTTCTAGTTCCATCTAGTGCATTGCCGCTCGATGGATTAAGCATGGATTATGAGAAATTTCATAGAATAATATGTAAGGGAATATTAGCAATGTCATACGGCTCTTTTGGCTTTTAAATCACAGTATGAAATAATCGATCGACTACTACTTATCAACGACACTAATGAATTTAATAATAAAGGTATTATATTGTATATGAATAATATTATTTAAATAGTGTATTAATCATTGAACTTAATGCTTCGAATAATAAGTAAATATGCCTGTACATATATATATATATATATATATATATATATATATATATTTTAATGCATTTTAAATAAGATATTTGAGATTTTAAATATTAATCGATTGCCAATCAGATGGCAGCACCAATCAGGAGGTGGCGGTGGGTGGGTGTTAGTTACTCTGACTTACCGATCGAGCTGTGTTATCATCATAATCATTCGTCGATAAATGAAGTTTTAATTATACTTTAGTTCGAGGTGACACTATCAGATAATGCCATGTGTATCAATAATTACGTAACTCCTTATAAATATCTAATCATTGGCCGTTTCTGCGTATATAGAGTCAGACACGCACGCTTGTACGCAATTATTTATAGAGGGGGTGGGGGTGGGGTGTACTAGAAGTTATCAATTATTTATAAAAATTAATCATAGGCTTTTATGGGCTTTGGAGCGATTTCACGTTCAATGTCAGAGAAGCTGGAATGATTAATTTACGTCGAGGTATTGCAAAAAGTGTAGAAATACGAATTTCATCGACTAGAAGCTCAATTGAATTCGAGTAAAGTTGAAAATTAAATGTATATGCGATGATTCGAGGGGATATTACTTTCATCTCCGTCGCACATAAATTCCACAAATCGGCGCAAATTACTCGGTATTACGATGGTAATACATGTATGCTCACACAAGATGTTTGTGAAAAAAAAACTTGGAGAAAAATGTCGAGCTTAAAGCTTTGGTAGCGCGCGTTTCCCGTGAAATTATTCAAGCCCGAACTAATTGATTAATTAGTCCGGATTCCGAAAGTTTCAACGCAGTTGAATCGCAATTTTTGTTCGAATAATAGGAAATGTCGAATATTTCAATATATATGCTAAATAATATATATATATATAAGTCAAGTTGTCGGATTTTATTTTCTTTTTTATTTACCCTTTTAACTTTATGTCATTCAAATACTCGAGATAGGCTCGATTTTTCTTCCTTTCTTTTCCTCTCTCTCTCTCTCTCTCTCTCTCTCTCTCTCTCTCTCTCTCTCTCTCTCTCTCTCTCTCTCTCTTAATATTCGTCCTATGTACCTGTCCAGACGATACATCCACACAAACGATAAGCATTAACTTATATAACCGAGTTTTTGTAATATCTATAAATATTGCTTTCCAATTAACAAGAGAAACAGCTTGCTAATAACAGGATAGTCGAGATAAAAGTCTGTCGAGAGGATGGGAAGAAAGAAGGAGTCTCTACATGGTAACTATTATCCTTACCCGGAGGAGAAAATCCGACGAGTACGAAAAATCTATTTTTTTTTTTTTTTTTCATCTCTTTACTTGGCCATTGACTTGGCTACGGATAAAGGCATATAATTCCATCATCGAAGCAAATTTTTCCACTAATTATCAATTTCTCTCGACAATTTTCCCATTGTTTATAAGTAACGGTATTTCACTTCTTCTTCTTCTTCTTCGATAAATAATTTTATAGCAAAAGTGAAGTTTATCCACAATATAAGAGATTATTATATTATTTAAATTATTGCTTTGTTATTTCGTGGTAAAAATGTGGAAAATTCACGTACCGGATAAAGCCAATGGCTTTTCTAATTTAGTTGCTGAATTTCCTAAAGATTTTTAGTTTACGATATTACGGAAATTTTTGCTGCACCGAGGAATTCGACTTCCCTATTCCGATGCCTTCGCTTCACAATTCCCCCTCCCCCTCCCGCCCACACATCTGGGCCCATTCTATTCCACGGTATTGCTTAAAACGAGGTACGATATTTTTACGTACTAATTTATGTTTTTTTTTTTTTTTTTTTTTTTTTTTTTTTTTTTTTTAATACGCAAACGACTCGTCGCATATACACGTCGAAATGGGTTCGCGTGAGCCGTTTAACTGTCATGCGGTAATATTTTAACGACATCGCGTCAAAGAAATTAGCGCAAGAATGTTATAATGAAATGAATTGGTACAACGACACATGAGGAAGAGTGTACATTTCATAGAGTGAGAGGATCGATTGGCTTTAGGCCTCCTTGCGTAAACGAATAGTCGCGCCGACTCGTACATCTCGAAAGCCACGTGTTTGGCTTTCTGCGGTAATTCGGAGCTTTCAGCTGCACCATGTCGAGTACGAAAATGAACCGTAAAAGCGATTGTCTGATGCCGTAAAGAATGAGAAAGCTGCCTTATGCTCGATGCTCATGTCGCTTTTACGACGAGTCTGCGCTCTGTTATTATCATGCAATTATTCGTTGCAGTAAGTAACGCGTGGATTATGCCGATTAGGATTCGCGAAAAATTAATAACGAGTAAGAGAATAACCAGCTTCGCGCGTATTGCCTTGACAATATTTTCCCTCTCGTATTTTTCGTACTCCTCATTGTTCGATGTGATTTATTATCCCTTTCTCTTCGTCATTTATCGATGCACCGTTCGACCACGTTTTCGCCTTCGTCGGCTTTTGCCTGTCCTCCTTATTGTTTATCGTCG